AGAGGACAACTATAACAGCTTTGTTGAGATATTAAGTTATACAAGAACACCTCTATGCTTAGATAGTACATGGAAACAGCTATGTTTCTATAATCACGACTTTTCTCCCTGAACAATCAGATGTATACTTCGACAAGGTATTAAAAGAAATAAATCAAATCTTTAATATGCTATTTAAGTTTCATTAGTATTTGCTGCTTACACTGAGGATTGCTTTCTGCTCCGTCACGTTAATACAATTCATACACTATTCGTTGTATATATACGTTGTACTTATTAAGGTCGGGTCATGTCAAGTGCTAATTGAAATTTGTTTCCCTCTCAACGGAGGTTAAGAACTTTCTAGGGTCTATTTTATTTTGTAATTATATTTAGAAATTAAGTTATCCTTTTGTATGAATATATGGAATATCTTTGTAGTAACACAACATTATTTCTGTTTATCACCCGATCACATGACTATTAGTGACACCCGTAATAGTAAAAGTTTAGCAAGAAGACTCCAGCTCCAATCACAGCTCAGTTAGACCAGTAGCAGCTTCAATCACAGCTCAGTAGAACCAATAACAGCTTCAATCACAGCTCAGTAGGACCAATAACAGCTCCATTCACAGCTCAGTAGGAACAATAACAGCTCCGTTCACAGCTCAGTAGGACCAATAACAGCTCCGTTCACAGCTCAATAGGACAAATAACAGCTTCAATCACAGCTCAGTAGGCCCAATAACAGCTTCAATCACAGCTCAATAGGACCAATAACAGCTTCAATCACAGCTCAGTAGAACCAATAACAGCTTCACTCACAGCTCAGTAGGACCAATAACAGCGTCAATAACAGCTCAGTAGGAACAATAACAGCTTCAATCCCAGCTCAGTAGGACCAATAACAGCTTCAATCATAGCTCAGTAGGAACATTAACTTTCTGTTTATCACCCGATCACATGACTATTAGTGACACCCGTAATAGTAAAAGTTTAGCAAGAAGACTCCAGCTCCAATCACAGCTCAGTTAGACCAGTAGCAGCTTCAATCACAGCTCAGTAGAAACAATAACAGCTTCAATCACAGCTCAGTAAGACCAATAACAGCTCCGTTCACAGCTCAATAGGACATATAACAGCTTCAATCACAGCTCAGTAGGAACAATAACAGCTTCAATCACAGCTCAGTAAGACCAATAACAGCTCCGTTCACAGCTCAATAGGACATATAACAGCTTCAATCACAGCTCAGTAGGACCAAAAACAGCTTCAATCACAGCTCAGTAGGACCTATAACAGCTTCAATCACAGCTCAGTAGGACAAATAACAGCTTCAATCACAGCTCAGTAGGACCAATAACAGCGTCAATAACAGCTCAGTAGGAACAATAACAGCTTCAAACACAGCTCAGTAGGAACATTAACAGCTTCAATCACAGCTCAGTAGGAACAAAAACAGCTTCGCTCACAGCTCAGTAGGACCAATAACAGCTTCAATCATAGCTCAGTAGGAACATTAACTTTCTGTTTATCACCCGATCACATGACTATTAGTGACACCCGTAATAGTAAAAGTTTAGCAAGAAGCCTCCAGCTCCAATCACAGCTCAGTTAGACCAGTAGCAGCTTCAATCACAGCTCAGTAGAACCAATAACAGCTTCACTCACAGCTCAGTAGGACCAATAACAGCTTGAATCACAGCTCAGTAGGAACATTAACAGCTTCAATCACAGCTCAGTAGGAACAATAACAGCTTCAAACACAGCTCAGTAGGAACAAAAACAGCTTCAATCACAGCCCAGTAGGACCAATAACAGCTTCGCTCACAGCCAAGTAGGACCAATAACAGCGTCAATCACAGCTCAGTAGGACCAATAACAGCTTCAATCACAGCCTAGTAGGACCAATAACAGCTTCAATCACAGCTCAGTAGGAACAAAAACAGCTTCAATCAAAGCCTAGTAGGACCAATAACAGCTTCGCTCACAGCCAAGTAAGACCAATAGCAGCTTCAATTACAGCTCAGTAGGACCAATAACAGCTCCAATCACAGCTCAGTAGGACCAATAACAGCTTCAATCACAGCTCAGAAGGACAATAACAGCTTCAATCACAGCTCAGTAGGACCAATAACAGCTTCAATCACAGCTCAATAGGACCAATAACATCTTCAATCACAGCTCAATAGGACCAAGAACAGCTTCAATCACAGCTCAATAGGACCAATAACAGCTTCAATGACAGCTCAATAGGACCAATAACAGCTTCAATAACAGCTCAGTAGGACCAATAACAGCTTCAATCACAGCTCAGTAGGACCAATAACAGCTTCAATCACAGCTCAGTAGGACCAATAACAGC